AAAATCATTTTTGGAGGACTGTCTCCTTTTTGCTATCTGGGTCTTAGGTCCCTCCCAAAGTTTTCTTCAATCTCATAAAATACTTTGGGAAAAGGCTCAGTGTCGTTATCCTCGCAAGGGGAAGGTGCTGGAGTATTAAAATAAGAGGTGCCGATAATTTTCTTTTTGAGATAGATTTTTATTACTCCAATTTATTATTTGCCAAAAATATGAGTATATGACGAGTATACAACATTATTTGGGTATGAGTAACGGAATTTGAACTTTTAAAAGTGATATTTGTGCATCTGTAACTTTCTCACTCATCATTATTCACGATTAATTCAGGATTATCCGCATTCATGTAGAAGTGTTTAGAAACATATTCTATTCTTATTTACGATAGAAAATGCACAATACATTATTTACCATTAATTTCTATTGGGCACAGAATCATCTGAAACACAACCATAACAAACAGCAAATGCATCCAACAAAGTTGTAGAGTCACACGCTTGATGTAGTCATTGCTTGCTTTGAATATGGGACCAAATACGTAACTTTTTACTACTTTAATACACATGTAAGTGAATTTGTCCCAATACTTTGGTCCCCCTAAAATGGGACTATGTACAAAAAGTGCTGTGATTTCTAAACGGTTCACCCGATATGGATGAACATACCCTCAAATTAAAGCTGACGGTCTGCACTCTAACATCATAGCCATTGTGAGTGCATAGGACTCATTGGGTAGAAGGCTACAACTGCAAAGTTTATATTATGACATTGAATTTAGTGTTAGATGAATGCATGGCTACCAGCAGTGGGTATTATGTTTACAGTTAGCAATCTAGCTAATGTGTTTTGAGTTTCCAATTACTCAGGTGGTGAATTAGCCCCAAATAACTTAGCCTATGATATTATTGCACATAAATATGTAGGCAAATTCATCTCTATTGAACAAAATAATATGTTACTCTGGAGCCCTGATTGGTGTCTTACATATTGTACTACTACAGCAAGATCTTTAGGCTTGCCAGGCATTGTAAAATTCTAAGCTCACCAGCCAAGGAACCTTCTATAGATCACTCTTCCTCTTTTCAAATTCCAGCTCTGTCGTTATCTGCATTTGCAAAGTCATCCTCTCAATCAAAAACCTATCCAAAGACACGCTCCCATCTGTGCTGTCCATAACAGCCAAGCATGGCCAGGAAATTATCGGGTTCCTAATTTCTATTGAATACATTCAGGAATAAATCAAATATTAGGCCTCAGAACGTTTGATGGTCCAATGACCATTCAATTCCTCCTCATGTAATGAAATAAAATGCCACTGTCTCTTTTACATTTACAGTGGGGGGGGGGGAAAGTATTTAGTCAGCCACCAATTGTGCAAGTTCTCCCACTTAAAAAGATGAGAGAGGCCTGTAATTTTCATCATAGGTACACGTCAACTATGACAGACAAAATGAGGGGAAAAAATCCAGAAAATCACATTGTAGGATTTTTAATGAATTTATTTGCAAATTATGGTGGAAAATAAGTATTTGGTCAATAACAAAAGTTTCTCAATAATTTGTTATATACCCTTTGTTGGCAATGACACAGGTCAAACGTTTTCTGTAAGTCTTCACAAGGTTTTCACACACTGTTGCTGGTATTTTGTCCCATTCCTCCATGCAGATCTCCTCTATAGCAATGATGTTTTGGGGCTGTCGCTGGGCAACACGGACTTTCAACTCCCTCCAAAGATTTTCTATGGGGTTGAGATCTGGAGACTGGCTAGGCCACTCCAGGACCTTGAAATGCTTCTTACGAAGCCACTCCTTCGTTGCCCGGGCGGTGTGTTTGGGATCATTGTCATGCTGAAAGACCCAGCCACGTTTCATCTTCAATGCCCTTGCTGATTGAAGGAGGTTTTCACTCAAAATCTCACGATACATGGCCCCATTCATTCTTTCCTTTACACGGATCAGTCGTCCTGGTCCCTTTGCAGAAAAACAGCCCCAAAACATGATGTTTCCAACCCCATGCTTCACAGTAGGTATGGTGTTTTTGGATGCAACTCAGCATTCTTTGTCCTCCAAACACGACGAGTTGAGTTTTTACCAAAAAGTTCTGTTTTGGTTTCATCTGACCATATGACATTCTCCCAATCCTCTTCTGGATCATCCAAATGCACTCTAGCAAATTTCAGACGGGCCTGGACATGTACTGGCTTAAGCAGGGGGACACGTCTGGCACTGCAGGATTTGAGTTCCTGGCGGCGTAGTGTGTTACTGATGGTAGGCTTTGTTACTTTGGTCCCAGCTCTCTGCAGGTCATTCACTAGGTCCCCCCGTGTGGTTCTGGGATTTTTGCTCACCGTTCTTGTGATCATTTTGACCCCACAGGGTGAGATCTTGCGTGGAGCCCCAGATCGAGGGAGATTATCAGTGGTCTTGTATGTCTTCCATTTCCTAATAATTGCTCCCACAGTTGATTTCTTCAAACCAAGCTGCTTACCTATTGCAGATTCAGTCTTCCCAGCCTGGTGCAGGTCTACAATTTTGTTTCTGGTGTCCTTTGACAGCTCTTTGGTCTTGGCCATAGTGGAGTTTGGAGTGTGACTGTTTGAGGTTTTAACAAAATCAAACAGGTGCCATTAATACAGGTAACGAGTGGAGGACAGAGGAGCCTCTTAAATAAGAAGTTACAGGTCTGTGAGAGCCAGAAATCTTGCTTGTTTGTAGGTGACCAAATACTTATTTTCCACCATGATTTGCAAATAAATTCATTAAAAATCCTACAATGTGATTTTCTGGATTTTTTTTTCTCAATTTGTCTGTCATAGTTGACGTGTACCTATGATGAAAATTACAAGCCTCTCTCATCTTTTTAAGTGGGAGAACTTGCACAATTGGTGGCTGACTAAATACTCCCACTGTACAATAACAAGTCCATATGATTGAGACATTTCTATTTAATACTGACCTTGGAGAATCAAAACCTCTTACATACAGTTGAATTTGGAAGTTTACATACGCCTTAGCCAAATACATTTAAACTTAGTTTTTCACAATTCCTGACATTTAATCCTAGTAAAAATTCCCTGTCTTAGGTCAGTTAGGATCACCACTTTATTTTAAGAATGTGAAATGTCAGAATAATAGTAGAGAGAATGATTTCTTTCAGCTTTTATTTATTTCATCACATTCCCAGTGGGTCAGAAGTTTACATACACTCAATTAGTATTTAGTAGCATTGCCTTTAAGTTGTTTAACTTGGGTCAAACGTTTCGGGTAGCCTTCCACAAGCTTCCCACAAAAAGTTGGGTGAATTTTGGCCCATTCCTCCTGAGTCAGGTTTATAGGCCTCATTGCTCACACATGCTTTTTCAGTTCTGCCCACAAATGTTCTATAGGATTGAGGTCAGGGCTTTGTGATGGCCACTCCAATACCTTGACTTTGTTGCCCTTAAGCCATTTTGCCACAACTTTGGAAGTATGCTTGGGGTCATTGTCCATTTGGAAGACCCATTTGCGACCATGCTTTAACTTCCTGACTGATGTCTTGAGATGTTGCTTCAATATATCCACATAATTTTCCTTCCTCATGATGCCATCTATTTTGTGAAGTGCACCAGTCCCTCCTGCGGTTAAGCACCCCCACATCATGATGCTACCACCCCCGTGCTTCACAGTTGGGATGGTGTTCTTCGGCTTGCAAGCCGCCCCCTTTTTCCTTCAAACATAACGATGGTCATTATGGCCAAACAGTTCTATTTTTGTTTCATCAGACCAGAGGACATTTCTCCAAAAAGTACGATCTTTGTCCCCATGTGCAGTTGCAAACTGTAGTCTGGCTTTTAAATGGCGGTTTTGGAGCAGTGGCTTCTTCCTTGCTGAGCGGCCTTTCAGGTTATGTCGATATAGAACTAATTTTACTGTGGATATAGATACTTTTGTACCTGTTTCCTCCAGCATCTTCACAATTTCCTTTGATGTTGTTCTGGGATTGATTCGCACCAAAGTACTTTCATCTCTAGGAGACAGAACGCGTCTCCTTCCTGAGCGGTATGACGGCTGCGTGGTCCCATGGTGTTTATACTTGCGTACTATTGTTTGTACAACGTGGTACTATTGTTTGTTTGAACGTGGTACCTTCAGGCATTTGGAAATTGCTCCCAAGGATGAACCAGACTTGTGGAGGTCTACACATTTTTTTCGTAAGTCTTGGCTGATTTCTTTTGATTTTCCCATGATGTCAAGCAAAGATGCACTGAGTTTGAAGGTAGGCCTTGAAATACATCAACAGGTACACCTCCAATTGACTCAAATGATGTCAAATAGCCTATCAGAAGCTTCTAAAGCCATGACATCATTTTCTGGAATTTTCCAAGCTGTTTAAAGGCACAGTCAACTTCTGACCCACTGGAATTGTGATACAGTGAATTATAAGTGAAATAATCTGTCTTTAAATAATTGTTGGAAAAATTACTTGTGTCATGCCAAAACTATAGTTTGCTACAAGACATTTGTGGAGTGGTTGAAAAACGAGTTTTAATGACTCCAACCTAAGTGTATGTAAACTTCCGACTTCAACTGTACTTTTATTGAACTCATACATCTGATGTAGATTGCTTGTGTCCGTGCTCTAACCATGAGTAACAGGTGCTCTTGTTTGCATTGTAATGCTGTCAATCAATCAGTAATCACCTTCATACACAAACATCTCAACACTTTTGGTTACAGTAAGCACTAAACAAAAACACACTCCTTATAAAGATGGGTAATGCCAGGTTATCCCAGGTTACAATGTGTTTCGCTCTGACAGATCTTCCAGAGGTGGCGGAGTTGCAATCTATGTCAAAGAGGACCTACCCTGCTCTATATCTCTGGGTAAATCTGTCCCTAAGAACTTTGACATTCTGATCCTTAGCCTTATGTTTTCTAAGAACAAATGCATCAATTTAGCCTGCTCCTATCGACTCTCCATTCCTCTCCTCTGAGTTTCTGTTACTGGGTGATCTCAACTGGAACATGCTCTCCTTCCCTGATGCTGTCTCCCTACAACTGAAATCCCTAAACCTAAGTCAGATAATGAAAGAGCCAACCCATATCTCTCTCAAAGACTCCAACAAGTCCTCTCTCATTGACATCCTTCTCACCAACTTCCCCTCCCACTGTCAGTTTGGTGTATTCTCCCAATATCTCAGTGACCACTGTCTTATAGGCTGCATCAGAAGTGCTAGTTCGTAAACGCTGCTACAAACGTTTTGATGAGCAAGCCTTTATGCATGACTGCTATCACACCAACTGGCAGAGTCTGATCCCCTCTGTTGAAGATGCCTGGTCGTACTTCAAGAACACATTTACGCAAATACTCAATAAACACGCTCCAATTAAACAATACAGATTCAAGTACCGCTCCAACCCCTGTTTCTCCCATGACCTATCTGAGCTAATCACCCAAAAGAACAAAGCCTGGGAAAAGGCCAGAGACTCCAACCTTCCTCAAGACTGGTTAGTTTTCAGACAAATCAGGAACAAATCCTCAGAAAGTCATTTAGCAGACGCTCTTATCCAGAGCGACTTACAGTTAGTGAATACATATATATATATATTTATATTGGCCCCCCGTGGGAATCAAACCCACAACCCTGGCATTGCAAACACCATGCTCTATCAACTGAGCTACATGCCTGCCAGCCATTCCCTCCCCTACCCTGGACAAATTGTGTGCCGCCCATGAGTCTCCCGGTTGCGGCCGGCTGTGACAGAGCCTGGATTCGAACCAGGATCTCTAGTGGCACAGTTAGCACTGTGATGCGGCACCTTAGACCACTGTGCCACTCAGGAGACAAATAGTTTGCCTTATCCATCAGTAAGCCATCCAAATTCTGGAAAACTGTGAAATCCATGCAGAATAACACCCCCTCTCCCCAGCTGCCAGTCTCTGCCACCTTCAGAGGTGTGGTTACAACCGACAAAGCCTGTATATCTGAGCTCTTTAATGAGCACTTTCACGCTGCCAGTTATATCGTTGAGAGGTCCTCAAATGCTGCACGAAGATTGTCTGCCCCTTGCCCTCCTCCTATGCCCACACCCAAAGCTGTCATCAAGGCAAAGGGTGGCTATGTAAAGAATCTCAAATATAAAATATATTATGATTTGTTTAACACTTTTTGGGTTACTACATGATTCCATATGTTATTTCACAGTTTTGATGTTTTCACTATTATTCTACAATGTAGAAAATAGTAAAAATAAAGAAAAACCTTTGAATGAGTAGGTGTTTTAAAACTTTTGACCGGTAGTGTAGATATTGGTCTCCACTAGGCTATGACATACACGTGTCTAGTGTATCCTAAAGTTACGAATGGACTCAAAATTAAATTCAGTCGTTGCCTGGGGTGGTTTAGCGGTTAGGGCCGCTGCCTTCAGCTTGCACATAAAGGCCTACCCGGTCGGCATGGGTTCAATTCCGGCCCACGCCATTCTGGCACAAATAACTAAATCCCCCGATTGACTTGATGTAGTTACATATTTCAAATATGGACAGTCCAGGGTTATTTTACTCCCGATCTTGATAAGAAATTACAATATCAGACAATTTTAGATAACATAAATAGGAAACAAATAAAATAATAACAATCAGCAGGCTACACCAACATTAGTTTCCATTCATACAAAGTGTTGGGTAATTTGCCACAGTAGGTTTACCGTGGTATACGGGGAAATACTTTATTTACATTGTATTTACAATGCTTGTCAAATAGATAAATCACCCTTAGTCTGTTCAAAAAGGACTAAGTTGTTGTGATGACAATACCAACCAGAGGGCGAACATATCTTAAAAGACTTTGGTTGCAAGCATCTTTTAGAGAGTGGTAATGAGGTGACCAATAATGGTTGCAATTGAGATCAGCTGTGCGGATGAATTTAGCTGCCGATAATAAGGATGCTTCCTTTAGAGGCAAAATTTCTAGCCAGGAAGTCAACATTGGCATGTCCCAATCGTTCTTATTATACCTCAGTTGTCCCAATCCCAAGTATCCTTCGCCGGGGACGTTATCCCATAACACCTTGTGGCACAGCGAAAAATAAGAAGTAATCGCTTGGGATAACATTTTCCATAAGAATAAGGAATAACTTTGCGAAATGTAAGTATAATGTTTATTTATTCACCAAATTATGTTAAAATGTTCAACAAATTACTTTCATATTAATTGTGAATTCAAATGTTGAGTAATTGGTGTTTATCAACCCCTTGCCAAGTGCTAGCTAGCTAACACATCGGACACGATAGCTAGCTAGCAGGCAATCTCATTTTTCCCCCATTTGTTTTCAGGGACTAAAGTGGGCACTTGATCGCGTTTCAGTCCATTGTATTGGCATGGCAGGAGAAAACAGTCCTGCCTGACTGGTTTGGAGGTAATTCATTTTAACAACATCTGATGAAAAACGTAGGAAATGCAGCCAGCTGTGTTCTGTTCAATCTAGGCTTGCTAGCAAGCCAAATTATTTGTGCATTTTGTTAATGAGTCTGTTTTGCCAGCTAGCTGCATGCACTGTGTTTTTTTTACCTAGCTAATGTTAGCTAACTTTCTCATGCCACTTTCCCTTTCCCTATTGTGTTGCACCATTGGGGTTGGTGTTACTACACTGAACAAAAATATTAATGCAACATGCAACAATTTAAAAGATTTTACTGAGTTACAGTTCATATAAGGAAATCAGTCAATTTAAATAAATAAATTAGGTCCTAATCTATGGATTTCGCATGACTGGGAAAACCTTGAAAAAAAGGTAGTGGCGTGGATCAGAAAACCAGTCAGTATCTGGTGTGACCACCATTTGCCTCATAAAACACGACACATCTCCTTAGCATAGAGTTGATCAGGCTGTTGATTGTGGCCTGTGGAATCTTGTCCCATTCCTCTTCAATGGCTGTGCGAAGTTGCTGGATATTGGCGGGAACTTGAACATGCTGTTATCTTCATAACAGGTACTGAAGAGAATTATTATGTTACTTGTTTACTTGTTATTCGTGTCAGATATTTCCATTTTGGGAGAGTTGTTCACTGAATTGCTAGCACTAGTTGCTCACGCTGCTACAGTGGCTACAATGTGGCTACAAATGTCTCACTCTCTGTGGAATGTGAATGCATTATCACATGATGCTGCCTTGGAATTCCGTCCCAAATGGCAGTAACCTACTAGAAAAGTGCTACCTACTAAGGTAGGTGCCTTTGGAAGCAGGTAGGCAGCAGCCTTCGGACTGGTTAAATAATAACATTATGCTACATTAACATTAGTTTTCATTCATACAATGTGTCAAAATGATTGCCCCGCACTGGGCGTGAACTCATGATGCTCAGTGTGCTGCTCAGATCACTTCGCTATAGCAGTTCACAGTGCTTAAAGGTATGAGATCGGTTGGTTCCCTCTACGAACAGTTTGGCCTATCGTCCCTCACAAGCGGACGACAAATTCACCGGTTCAGCCTCATTCACAAGACCCTTACTGGCAAAGCCTCACTCTACCTCTAAACTCCTCTTCTTTTCCCAGTCCTCCTAAAGCCTACGCTCTACTAACTACAACTCCCTGTCTGTTCCAACTCTGGCTCCAAAACACTTCAACACTTTGCTGCTACTGACTGGAATAAACTCCAACAGGATTTAAAACTCAACCAATTAATCTCTGTCCTGTTTTATTAACAGTTTACATGACCTGGTTATCCACCCTTGTGACTGCTTTTAGAGTCAGTAGCTATTAGTTGTGTCCCCTGTGTTTTAATTACGTGTTGTAAATATGTCTAGCTTTTTTTTGTTTTATGGGGGAGTATTTAAGAAATGTCTGCTTTGTCTGCATGTTGTCACTTGTCTTCTTTGCTGCACGGTTATTGCCCTATCTTGGTCAGATCATTATTGTATAAGAGAAGGTGTTCTCAATGATTTACCTGGTTAATTAAATCGAGTTCAGAAAGGGAATCCGAGTGCCCGCCTCAGCTGATGCATCAGCTGAGATTGCACCAATTAGATGCTAGTAACAATCACGCCTACCTTATTTGGCAGTCTATTTAAACTGACTGGTTCTGCTCACACATCCTGCTTCCGCTTGCTGCTAGTATGTGTTTGCTTCTTTTGCGCCCACCATCACCTTTTAGGTTCTGTTTTCCTGCTGGGGGATTGATATAGCTTACCCTCACTGCTTGTAGGTCATTTTATATATTGACACTTTGCTTGGACAGTGAGCTACACTGAGCAGAACCAGTCACCAAGACTTGCATTATTCATTATTTAATAAATAGTTAAACATATTTCTATGTGGTGTTTCCTTTCTGAAATAAAAGTTAAATAAAAATAACTGATCACATGCTTCGCGATCAGCTAAGCAACATACTTTGTGCCCCACCAAACCAAACTGCAGAGAAAACCGCCCCAAGCATCAAAGGGTAGATTAGATCCCTTTCCCCAATGTGGCCTGTTAGTGACTTTATAAAAGGGTAAACTAGCTGACATGAGAGCTGCATGGGCATCAGAAAGTGATAGAGGGACTGGGACTGGGATGGTCTTCTATGCCAGAACAGTGCAGTGCCACTGTGCCAGGATGGATGAGCCAGAGACAGAGCACATTAGGATTACAGGAAGACAGATGCTTAGACTAAGAAGGCACTGCACCTTCACCTTGATGAACCTGATCACCAGCCCATCTGCAAGACTACACTAGGGTACATTTACTAACAGAATGGCACCTTGTTCATTTTCTTCTAGAATACAGAAAGCTTTACAGAATACCGAAAGGGGCACTAATGTGCTTTGAATACACGATTGTGCTATAAGATGTCCATAAAAACATAGCATAGTATGTCATGTTTTTATGATAAAGGTAAAACGGTACAATGAGTATATCGGAATCATAGTAATCAACTGCAAGAGACTACAGTGACTACTGACACAATTTAGACATGGACATCTAGCAGACAAATGCTGCTATATTAATCCTTAGCAACAGTAGTCAGGGAAAGCAATGGCTGGTGTTATCTTTTGATATGACACCAACGGCCTGACAGCAGAATGTTTTAAACAGTAACAGTTCTCTCTAACATGTATTAACAAGTTTACTTAGCTATTTAGGGGTTTGATTCAGCGATCATTGAGGGAAGAACAATTTGCAGCGGGCGTTCTCGATCGAAAGTGAGGGGAAAGTGTCATTAATCTCATTACTTAGTGCATGTATTAAAACTTGGCAAACTATAAACAGCCCTTTGAATGAAGACAACAGCCACACAGTTCACAATAATCTACAATAGAGCCTAAAGGAAGACATTTCCTATGGTTACTAAATGCACAATGTGCGGCCTGAACACGTGTTTGTTTGACTGTACTGGTACCCTGATTGGCGTTAATCAAGTATGTGTGTGCGTGTGTTTTT